GAAACTAGACAGATGAGGGAAGCCACCAGACGGTCAGATCTTCCGGGATGAGGCCCTAGAGGCGACGGAGCAGGGACCATCACCCCTGCCACACCCCGCCTGACTTCCTGACCCACAGAATCTCGGAGCCTGATAAAACTAAACTCGGGGTGATTTATTATGCACAAGCAATAACAGCAATAGTTAATAAACAGTCCAAAAAATCATTACTGCGACTTTGCTTCCTGATCCTAGGAAGACGGACTGGCTAGCGAGGAGCCTCAGTGAATTAATTTAATCTAATTCTGGCCTGATACGGTGAAATGCACACAATGCTCTATCTAGAACGGTAGCTCCCTGGTTTGAGATTGAAAGAATACATTGCTCACAGTTCAATGAGACTGAAAAAAAAAAAGGACCTTCCCTCCAGTGGTTGAAAATTTTACCACTGAAGGCATTACCCGGCTGGTCTTGGGCTGGATTTATAACGTGGCACCCGCAAATATTCAAGAGGTTAGATTAGCTGGGATTAAACTCACAGGGATGCTGGAAGGGCACCAAAATGTCTGCTCTCCTTCCTGCCCAATTTGGTCCACTGTAAATAAAACCTGACAGGCTTTCTTAAATCAACTTAATAATGTGAAGCACAAGTGCTTTCAGATGCCCAGTAGCGAAACCACATCAGCTTTCTGAGGAAGCCTTCGAGCAAGAGGCAACAGTAATAAGGGATGCTGCCCAGAGGGCCATGTACAAGCGCTGGTGGCCTTGAGTGACTCACAGCACAGGGCTCCGTCCATCCATACTGGACGGTCAGCGCGGGAAGGAGCTGGGCCTTTAATAACCAAACTCCGGCCTCAACTGGCTCGTTGAGAGCCAGATGCTGTCATGTTGGAAGCAGATGAGAACACAGTTATAATCGATCTGGAATCCTAATGAATTCCAGGTGCACGTCCCAGCGGCCTGCGGGAGTGGGAGCTCTCCTCAGCGCCCTCAGAGGGAATTATTGCTGTCAGAGGAGGCTATTCTGTTGCAGTCTATGGGGCCTCGGGACTTTTCCCCTCTGATTTCAAATGGGAGTTTTTCTTGTGTTGGCGTTTTTGTTTTGTTTTTGTTTTTGTTTTTGTTTTTTAGCCAGAGGCAATTTCTCAGATATATCAAAGGACATAATGGAAAAAAGTAGGAAGACCAAGACAGTTGAGGAGATCGAGGAAATTGGATTAAATATGGTGTTCATAACGCTCCAGTTGATGTCCTTAAGCAGGAAGTGTGGTTTCATGACCCAGCCGATTGCTAGCCACGGTCCATACCATTTAAGAGAAGAGAAAGCGTGACCAGGACCCCAAATCGTTTCGTGGTGGCTGGGCATCGAGGCACAGCATTTTCCAGGCCCGTTTCTCCACATCCTCCAACCAATCCTTTCTCTGCACGGTACAGTCACTTTCTCCTTCTTGCAGACAAGACCCTGAACTAATGCAAACACCAGAAGAATGGCCTTCCCTTCCAAATGCCTTTTCCCCCTCCCTGCCAGGCCAAACGCTCAAAAAATACATATTGCCATGCAACTAAGGAAGTGTCCTTTTAGGGAAGATGGCGATATGTTTTCCATGTGGCTAAATTAGCCAATAAGAACAAATATGGTCCACTGTAAATAAAACCTGACAGGCTTTCTTAAATCAACTGAATAATGTGAGGCACAGACGCTTTCAGATGCCCACTAGCAAAACCACATCGGCTTTCTGAGGGTGCTTCGAGCTTCAATTCAGGACCATACATTCGCATAAGGAGATGTTTCAACACCAAAACCAGATGCGCTAATTCCATTTGAAAAACAATTAAAGAGAATAGAATTCATGTAGAAATAACAGCTGACAACAGTTTCGCTTTCATCTACTTGCAACACTCACAAGGTCAGGTATGTCACAAACCATGATTAGTACAAGTCTGCCATCTGAATCTATAGAATTACAACTCATGTATCATCATACACATTGATATGCTTACTCAGTAACATCAGGCATAGGACCCAGCCCCACACCCACCAAAATGCAGTTTTATATGCTTACCACCATCAGATATCATTCAATTGGAAGTATGTCCTACTTTCCTAAAGCATGTACTTCAGATTAGCACAAAACATGAGCAAAATTCTTTGTGGAAAAAAACCCACACACAAAAAAACTTGCTGGTATTCTGATTAATTGAAATATGAGGGAATGGTGTAATCCTACATAAAAACCTATCAAGAGGTAAAAGATAACTTCTTCAATTTACATTTGAATTAAAGAGTAATTAAGGACAGAAAAAATTTGCTCAAGAAACAGAGGGGGTGGGGAGCCTGCTATATACATACAATGTGCGGTCTTTAAATTTTCCTTTAGAATCAGGTGCCATGTCTCAGCACTGTGCTAGGCTGTGTTGTGTGCAAAGGTCTGGTTACCCTAATGCATACTATTTTATTCAAAAATGAATACGGATGCCTGATACCCCATTCCTCACTGTAAAAACAGGGATTACCCCTCTCTAATGAATGAAATGAATGGAATCCCAACTTACAAAATCATCTTGAGGGTCAAGACTCCTCGGGCCTGCTCCCTGGTCTCCCGGTAACTGGCATGGCGCTGTCTCTGCCAGGGGCAGCTCAGTGGGTATTACTCACTGACGAAAACCCTATTTACACGGGCGTCTGAGATCACAGGACAACTTTTCCTGATCAGTAACAGCTGGTTTCCAAACCACCCTAATCCCAGAAGATTCCAATGACATTTTGGTTAAAACGATTATAGAATACACTTTTCACTATGATGTTTAAGGGGAAAAAAGATCCACTCACATAAAGATGGGAATAAAACAAAACAAAAACAGGCAGAGGTTTAAAAGACTGGGCTGTGAGTGGTATTACATTAAAAAAACAAACAGCCGAAACCAGTTTGGCTCAATGGATAGAGCGTCGGCCTGCAGACTGAAGGGTCCCAGGTTTGATTCTGGTCAAGGGCATGTAACTTGGTTATGGGCACGACTCCAGTGGAGGGAGAGTGCAAGAGGCAGCTGATCGATGTTTCTAACTCTCTATTCCTCTCTCTTCCTCTCTGTGAAAAATCAACAAAATTTATTAAAAAACAAACAAACAGTTTTTACACTAACACTGAGAAGGTAACTAGGATGATGCTCTTGCGACCCCTCCATCAGAAGGAAGTTTCCCAGGGACAGGTTCCCGCCCTGTCCTCATCCATGGCTAGGAGAATAATCCCTTTGCTCGGCCTGGCCACGTGCGCACCATGGCTGAGGTTATTGCAGGCCAACAGAGCACACAGAGCCAGCTCTGTCCTCGCCCCTTCTCCCACAAGGCACAGCTTCTTGCAGATGCAAATGCCTGCCCAAGGAGAATCAGAACTTAAAACACCCACCATTACTTACAAGTAATTACAGAAAGGAGGCATATTTTAGTTAAAGCTCTAAAATTTCAAAGTCACAATTAATTCGTTCTCATCGAGACTAGCCAGTTATTAGATTTAGAGTAGGGTTACTTTTTTTTTTCACATCTAAGTATATATTACACCCTAAATGCCTAAGTCATCGTATATGATTTTGATACCCGACAGCCAAAACTCAATTCGCAAGGATTTGTGTGCTATGCGTAAGAAAGGCATTCTAGCTAACCTAAGGGAAAAAAAAAAATTAACATTCCCCTCATAAATTACTGAATTTAATTAATACTGATTCTATACCCTCATAATTTTAGGACATAATGTGGCCTGCAGTATAGTCAGATGCTTGTTAAATAGTTCATTTTATCAGAAGGCTCACGGATAACTGTATAGTACGTGTTTTTGACATGAAAATGACTTGCTCTATGATACAGTCAAAGGAGGCCATGGGGGGAATGGCCCCAAGGTCCTGTCTAACTCAGCGTTTCCCTCAGGAGATCCACACAGAACTGGGCCCAAATAGCACCTGGAAGGAAGTTCAAAGTAAGGAGCACCAAAGCCTGATCCTGGCTCTGTTCCTCACCTGGCTCTGTGATCCCGGGCCAGCAATGTATCAGAACGTAGTTTATTCTTTTATAACAGGGAGATATATTGTCTCACAGATGTCTGTACAGAATCCAGTGATCTCCTGTGGGTACCAGGCACAGCCCCTCACCTATCATAGGCCCTCAATAAATCCAGAAAAGATGGGAGAGAGTATAGAAGACCCCCGAGATCTGGATTGTAATCTAGCTTCCGGGTATTAATCCAGAAGCATCTAGAATCAAATGGCATTGACAGAAAAGGCACAGCATGGCTCACAGTCCCATGGTATCCTGGGGCTCCAAGTGCCTTCAATTTCTTTTGTACTATCTCCCCACAAAGAAGCCTCAGATGTGGGGCACATTCTAGGGGACCCAACTGGCACTCACTTTTGCCATGTAACGCTGCACACCACCCCTAAGGGAAACTGGCTATTATTCCAGTTTTGAGGTCTTGATACTTTGGCCTGGAACCCTGGGTGTCCTATTATTCATACGTAACTGTTTCTTCCTTTGCCGTCATTTAATTTCCATGATGGTCAACCATGCATATCCACTGGTTTATTGTTTTCCTGGGGCAGGATCTCTTGTTTAAGATTACAAGCTGCTAAAACCAGTGCCTGTATATAGGTGATAAGTTTTTCATAGCATCCAGCAGAGTAATGATAGCACATGTGATTTGAAGAAAAGAACTATGATGAATGAGTTCATGAAATTTACATGGGGGATGCTCAAGTATCAACCATAATGAAAACCACGTAACATTTAACAAAACCCGTTTTCAAATCGCCTGTGCCATATGCTCCCAAGGAAAACAAGTACTGCGAATAGTCTTTAACTTTTCTTGGAAATGAGACACCATTCCACTTAAGCTATTTAGACTAAGTTCATTACTACCCGCTCACGGACATCTTAGAAAAGTAACTATTATACCCCTTACACCTTAGAATGAATAAGAAGGTTAAGTGTAAGATGTTTGTGTGAGGATTTTTTTTAAAACGAAAAAGTATCCTACCTCCTTAAAGTTGTCAAAAGCTGATAAAATGATTTCATGCCCGCCTCTGACAAGACAAACGGCTGCCAACAGTTCCAACACAAGGGCTTTTGTTCTGTCAAAACAAGAAGAAAAAGAAAAAACCACGAGTCAGTGAAAGTGACAAGATGAATCTGCTGTTCCTCGCATCCAAGATCAAGATAATAAAATAACTGTCCGTATGTTTTATAAACTTTTACTAAGGTATAGTTACACTAACATACATATTTAGACCTTTGTCTACCTCTATAATAAGTGACTTATCTAGGGTAGCAAATTTGGAGGCATGTTTCCCATACTCTAAGTTACAAATTACTCACTAATGAAAATTAATTCTGGAAAGATTCATCTTTTAGTCCCATCATCAGATGACTCAGTACAGTGTGTCTGAAAAATATTTATTAGTGAGCCAGAGACAAGAGGAAACTTGGGAATATTCAGGAAAACAACCCACTGTTAAATATTGTCTCTGGTTTTTAGAATCAGAAACATAACATTTGTCAAGAAAGTTCAAAATCGATTGAAATTACATTTCACATCTGCTAATTTGCACATGGCGCCATAAAAATCCCCTATGACAAGGCAAGTTTCTTCCTCTGTAGGAGGTGTGAAAGGATCTGGATTTCAGCTCTACTAATACGAGAATATTCTGTGACTCAAGGAAATATTTGAAATAAATAAAACTCCATCTGAAATATTTTTAGGAGAACCTAGAGATACATTCCAAGTTTCTTAATACAATGTCAAGAACAGCACTGTTTCTTCATTTTAAGATGACTTCGGTGTTTCACCATTTTCTGGAATAAAATCTATTACTGACCTCTAAACAAAGACCATTCTGAATAATCCAGTTAGTCATCTTAAGGACGATGAATAGTGAGTTCCCGAGGGGGAAGACAGGGACACAGAAGCATGACTACTTGGGATTCTTGTATACTAAGAAAGCAATGGTGAAGTTGCAAAAGCTTTAATCTGGGGAAGGTTGAAGCCATTATCCACATCTAAATAGGACTTGTGCTTTACATTGCATTCCAGGTCAGATAGGGTCTAATTTATAACCAGATTCCTTTACGTGAATCAACAGTTTTCAGACAGATATTCTACACAGAGGTGTCTGATAAAGGGGAACAACACATTTCAAATGCGGAGTGCCTCACCAGAATGTAAAACATATTAGAATAACTAAAATAAATTGATAAAGGCAGGCTTCCAGAAATAATCTGTGATGTGAATAATATGGGGCACTGGCCTTTATAGGAAAGTGAAATAAAGTGAAATCTGGCCCTGGCTGGTATGGTTCAGTGGGTTAGAGTGTCAGCCCCCACAGGGCAGGGTCATGGGTTCGATTTCTGATCAAGGGCACGTGCCTGGGCTGCAAGTTTGGTCCCTGGCCCCAGTTGGGATGGGTGTGGGAGGCAACCAATTGATGTGTCTCTCATATCTATATTTTTTTTTTCTCTCTCTCTCTCTCCTCCCCCCTTATCTCTTCCTCTCTCTGAAAACCGATGGAAAAAAATATCCTTAGGTGAAGATTAACAAAACAAAACAAAAAGTGAAATCTGCATACACAATTATTGTTTTGTCTGTGTTTTACTTTTGGTAATAAAAGCTACAGATCTAAATATTGCAAGTGAAGTGTGGATAAGGGATCATGGTTCTAGTTATCGATAGCTTTTGGCAATACCTGGTAAGTCTGTATGATAATTGGCAACATCATGCTCTCCACCAAATTTTGCTAAATTTACAAGGATGCTGAGAACTAGGTCTCAAAAGGAGTGAAGGTTTAAAGAGGAGAGAGAAGGGCTGGAATTGTCACCAGTTGCTCAACTCTGCCACATGTAAGAATCTCACTCAGCTGGTCTATATAGCAAGGAATCCACTGGCAATCTTATTTCAAAGAGTCACACTTGCAAGTTTCCAAACTCTAATTTAGTTAAGTATTGACTAGCTCTCTGCTTTCCCTAGTTGGATTTAAACTTGTACATTACAAATCAAGCTTACCTTGGATTCTTTTTTTTTTTTTTTTAATATATTTTATTGATTTTTTTACAGAGAGAAAGGGAGAAAGATAGAGAGCTAGAAACGTCGATGAGAGAGAAACATCGACCGGCTGCCTCTTGCACACCCCCTATGGAGGATGTGCCCGCAACCAATGTACATGCCCTTGACCGGAATCGAACCTGGGACCTTTCAGTCTGCAGACTGACGCTCTATCACTGAGCCAAACTGGCTTCGGCTTACCTTGGATTCTTGTTGTTCAAGCTTAGTGCAATCTCGTTGACAGCATGTGGATGAGACATGACCATGTTGAAACCATACTGAAATTAAGGTGGGGGGGAAAAAACAAGGTATTAGGAGTCAACCTAAGGGCTGCCAATGTTGATAAAAACAACCCCATAAAGTTTCTACCTAATGTAATTTCTGCTATCTTTAAATGCATTCATGACTACAGTAATCAGTGTCTGAACATATTTCCAGGAAAAAGTTCAGGAATGATGTTACTATCAAAGGGCCCTATTCCCATACTTTATGAATAAACTATATGATCCTCTTTAGTAAAATGGTGAAATGGCTCCCGCCCATTGATTCTCAATCCTGGCTGCTCATCAAAATCACCCAAAAGAGTAAACAAAACAAAACAATGAGTTCCACGGGAGGGACCCTGGCATCTGAATTTTCAGAAGGACTCCACTGCTCAGCCAGGATTAATAACCACTGCTTCTACCCCCTTCTCTGTGCCATGGCAAACAGGACAGAAAGCCTAGCGAAACTCGTGTGCCTCATCCTTCTACAAAATGAAGAAAGTTCCATTAACAGGCTCAAGAATCATTCTTGATTCTGCTGAGTTGAGGAATTATTCCTTTTCCTGCAAAATCAACTCCTAGCTCATGACTTTATTCCCAGTGACACCGAGGAGAAAGTATTAGCAGAAAAGGCTTCCGAAAAGCTTCCACCATCACATGAGTCCTCCCCACATAGATCTTTGGATTACCTCCTCACCTCTTCCTCAAGATGAATTCTCCCGTGCTCCAATCTAAGGTTAAGTCACAAATGAGTCCTTTATTCCTGCTCAGGGGAATATACAATTTCCCCAAGCCCCACCATTATTTTTCCTCTCTAATTCATTGTCATTAGCATAATGATCTTACCCTAAGTAACAACAACCAAATCTCTCTCAACCCTATACTCTCCAGCTACTGCCTCATGTCTCCGCTATCCTTTACAGCAAAACTCTAGCACTCCCATTCTTCTCTGCTGTTCTCTCCTGAAACCCTCTAATCAGGCACATCATCACTACCACTCCAATAAAACTGTCCGTACCAAGATCACCAATGGCCCACTCTCTCACTCCTCATCTTACGTGACTTAGCACAGCACTGGACACAGCTGAGCACTATACCTTGAAACATTTCCTGCACGTGGCATCTACCTCTCTGACTACTCAGTCTCTCTAGCTAGTTTTTCCTCATCTCTCTGATATTTAAACAGAATGCTCCTTGATTATCCAGGACCTCTTTGCTTCTCTGTGCATCTGTTTACCTCATCCAAACACCATCTATTAACTCCCAAATTTGTCTCTCCAGCCGGACCTCTGCTTTGAACTTCAAATGGCATATCTAACCGCCTACTAAAGGTCTCTATTGGATGTCTATGAACACCTCAAAGTTAACATCCTCCAAAAAGAGCTCCTAATCATGAGTCTCAAATCAGCTCATCTTGCAGCCTTCCCCATCTTAGTAGATAGCAACTCCCTAACAGGTGCCAAGGACAAATACTTTGGAGCCATTCCTCACCACATATGCAATACTATTGTCTTTACCAACAAAATCAAACCAGAACCTAGCCACCTCTCACCATCTCTGCTCCTACAATCCTGGTCCGTACCACCATCAACACTTACTTAAATTAATGCAATAGCCTCCTAAATGGTCTACCTTCTTTAGTCTTTGCCCCTCAAGGTTACTCCTAAACATAAAAACCAGAGTGATCGTGTTAAATTCAACTGTGAGATTAATTCACACTTTTCATCAGAACCCTTTAATAGCTTTTCATTCATAGTAAAGCTAAGGTCGTCTGAGTAGCTTACAAAGCCCCGCACAACCAGGAAGCCCTGTTAGCTTCAGATGTCATCTTCTACCTTTCCCTCTTCCTCACTCTGACCCATCTAACCTGCCCTCCTTTCTGTACCTCAGTCACATCACACTGATTCCTGTCTCAGGGCCTTTGACCTCACTTTTCTCTCTGCCTGGAATCCACTTTCTATCATATCCCTTAGCCTGTTCCCTCATGCAAGTTGTTCTTAAATGTTATCGCGTGACACTTTCCTGGCTAACCTATTTAAAACTGAATACATATTTCCATCACTTCCTATTCCTATTTCTTGATTATTTCTTCTGTAGCACCTAGTAATAGATCTCTGGAGACAATCTTCATGGGTTCGAATCTGACTCCAGCACTTATTAGCCAATACTGAGCAAATTACTTCTCTGACTTATCGCTCAGTTTCCTCATTAATAAAATGGGGAAAGTAATAGTCCTGAGACTTCACAGGACTGTATTGAGTCTTACATTAATTAATAGGCTTAAAAACATGGAAAGTACTTATAAAGATTAGTTTTCATTTCATCAGCAACCGTATCTGGAGCACTATATAGTTTAACTATTTATCATCTCTCTCACACTAGAAAGTTAGTTCCCTGGGACACGTGTTTATTTAATGCTGTATTCCCTGTGCTTAGAACAGGGTCTGGCAATGCTAAAAAAAAAAAAAACAACAAAAAAACCTGACTAAAATAAATAAATAAATAAATACATACATGTTTCCCTTTTTTAACTCAATTCAGCACCATTAGGTTGGGCTGGTTTTGAACTCAATTACTGACCTTCTATGTGGTATTTATTTCCCATTTCTTCTTGAGCCCACCTATAGCATCCTTATAGATGGAAATCAAATCCTATTTTTATGTATGAGTTTTGTTTTTCTAATTCTCACCCTGGTTAGCTGATCTAATTATACCTTTGACCATGTCCGTTTATTTTAGATATCCCAGGCTCTAACTTCCACTTCCCTGTTAGGATTAATCCAACCCCTCTACAATTCACTTTCTCCCACTGTTTCTCAGAGAGGAGATAACCTACATCAAATCACCTGAAGAAGGAAGTCAACTTGTAACAAAAATCCTCTGGGTGCTTCTTATAGATACTAGGACTCACTGGGTCCAAATAATTATCACTTTTTGCCTGTTCACCACAGAACCCTTTGAGAAACAATGACCAACCCAGGGATAAGTTACTCATTCCTAATGTTCTAAAGTTGCCCCATTACTGCCGTCTTAAATGGTCGCAAACGTTGATCAAGTAATCTAGACAAGTTTAACACTGTAGGAGGCAAACATCTTCCCGTTAAATACATAATCAATGCTAATTAAAATATCAAGCAATAAATTAAATATTGTGCATTAGAAAAAAAAACAGTCCTTTCTTTTTCAATAGAATCCCACTTAATCCTGATGTTTACTTCAAACAGAAATAATACAAGGAAACCAAAAAGGACAAGTTTGGAGTTTGACAAATTCAGATTTTTTTTCAAGGATCAGAAACACAGACATACCTGATAATTCATGATGGCACGTAAACACATGATGCAGACATGCACGTCATCCTTCTTACTCACTAATCTTGAATTTTTCAAGGTTCTTCTGCTCGGCAAAGTATTATATCTACAAATAAAAAGGGAAACTTCTATAACACTACGGATTATACTCTTAGCATAGAAATATGCACTTAAAAAAAACAAAAGTAGATGTTGCTCTCTACCTTTACCTGCACCAAATTGAGGATTGCAGCTCAAAACCAACAACAATAAACCCATCACCACAAAGCTATTTCCGTGCATTTGCAGGACCGCATAATTGTGTGCGCTGGTCATCATTCTTCAGGCCAGATACCCATGGGTAATGAAATTCAATTTCATACAACCATATAAGAAGTCAGACTGTACGTGGGATTCAACAACAGTTCCCAGCTCCTGACCAGTAGGCCCAGCAAGACTGGCAGAGGTGATCTGAGGCAAAATGCATGCAGATTGCATTTGCCAACAAGTGAACAGGTGAAACTTAGCTCACATAAAGGCTTCCAATCTTTCACACTATTTTAACTGAACCTTCCCATGCGTGCTCTCAGGAGTCCAAGATTCAGAGTTCAAGCCTGGGCAAGGTCATATATTAGCAACTTTGATACCAGCCTGCGATACTAGACCTTAATGGCATGCACAGCCTTAATAGCATACAAATGCCTCCACAGCCTGATCCTTCACCTAGCCAGGTATGGCAGCTGAAAGTAGGAGGAGAATATGCTCATATTTCGCAGGATTCAGATGTTTCAACATCAGATCCATTCTAGAGACCCTACATGGCTAAGCTGTGGTAGTTCTCTCTGGGCATGTATGAGCCTGCGAGTAATAAAGAAGTGAAATGTCAAGTAACAGGTGCAATTGGAAAACGTGACCAGGCTGGAGGCTTCCATGTGAGCTGTAAATGACTGCCTCTGAGGACAGTCTTCTCTGCCACTCCGAGCCTGAAATGTAGCCAATTGCAAAAGTTGTCAACTTCTAGTTTGCTATAGACAGAGTCAATGACAGAAGTGTCCCACAAAATAAGACATAGCCCTTCCTTCTTGAGCTGAAATAATTAGAACTTTAAGGAAGTTATGATTAACATTGTTTTCAAAAGTCCCCAGGTGTAGGCTGGGAGTTGAAAACCGAGCTGACAGTTTTGCCTGAAACTGTTCAGCTCATTTAAATTTTATTTTCTATTAAAAAACCACCAAATGTAAGAAAGATCATTCTTCCACATGAGCCCACTAATGAGCCAAATACATTTTTGATAATACTACAATAAGTCCCTTGCCTAATATAGCTGAATACTTAAAATCTGTTTGTCCATCATGCCACTTATAAGGCAAATGCTTTACTCGAGGATTTTCCCCACATTGTTCACACTGGGAAATAGAATTTCAGCAGTGGAAGTTGGCCTAATTCATTTTTGAGAATTTCTAGCTCTCGATCTCTCTCTGTAAAAAATCAATAAAATATATTTAAAAAAAGAAGAAGATATATTGACCAAAGCAAACAACTCTTGAAGGAAGGTGGTGCAGGCCAGTCTACACACTCACACATTTCTGCGTCTCTTCAAAACAAAGCTTAATAACTCCAGAAAGTAGATCAAATTTACACCTTATGGTGTTTCCTAAGAAATGTAAAGTACCATAGCAAGTTCCTTAATTTTATCTATTAATCTGGTTCTTCAGCTATATTGTAGTAAGACTCTAAAAAGCCAAAAGTTCTTACTCAGTTTGGCTCAGTGCATAGAGCATCAGCCTGCAGACTGAAAGGTTCCAGGTTTGCTATAGACAGAGTCAATGACAGAAGTGTTCAAGGGCACGTAACTCAGTTGCAGGCTTAATCCCTGGCCCTGGCCAGGAAATATATGGGAGGCAACCAATTGATGTCTCTCTCACATTGATGTTTTTCTCTCTCTGTCTATCTCCTCCCTTCCATACTCTCTCTCTCTCAAGATCAATGGAAAAATATCTTCAGGTGAGGAGTAACAAAAAAATAAAAAGCCCAATGTCTTTGTCATTACTTGCAGAAAACAGAAAAAAAAAAAAAAAAAAAAAAAAAAAAAAAAAAAAAAGAAAAAAAAAAAAAAACCAGATTAATTAGAATAGTATTTTAGTTATTAAACTATTTTCTTTTTTGAGAAGATTTAAAATTCAGCAGCAAAGGGATACTATCCAAAAACCCCATTCCAATGAAGCTGGTTTTCATGAAGTCCACCAAGTTGACGCCAAAATACCAACCATAACCAGTTGCATTAAGACTAACAATTGATGCAGCCCCTTCACCACAACAAAGACACCTGGAAAGGTGAGAAGAACTGGCCTCTGGGGCTCTCTACCAGTGCAAAACATCCAACAAATCTCTTGTTGAAGCTCCAAGGTTTGTTTTACTGAGCATTTACTGTTTATGTGAAAGTCTACGTGCTAAAATGAAGGATAAAGATGTTGCTTTGGTCCTCCATGCCTTACTATCTAGGTTAGAAGCAACAGATGACCCAATCGAAAGCCCTTCTATTGCGATGTGGTTTGTCCACACTCCAGCCCCTGCCTACCCTGCCTGTCACATACACATTATAAATATGTAAAACAAACTCAATAACAACACACACCCCTGCAAAGCACAACATGTTGGAGTGAAGGCAGTCATACATTCTCAAAGGAGAACCTTTTTTTTTTTTTTTTGCAAAGTATCACACTTTAAAAATCCCCATAGAGTCATCCTTTTCTGAATCAAGCCAGACTTAACTGAGTTAACATAGACTTACACTTGGTAACTGTCTTTAGGCATATGAAAGTTGTTTTCAAATGGGGATCTCATTCAAGAAATAAGTATAAAAGGAATGAGATGAGTAGCATGGAGGTGACATGACAATGAACGTGACTGAACGTGAAGTATTACCAAGGGCAATTCAAAGCATACCTGTCTTATGGTTCCTTGAATGGCAAAATCACAAGATACTCCCGTTCATTACTTCTGTCTATATTTAAAATGTTCTACAATAGATGTGAATTACTTTCCAAATAAAGAAAAAGAACACTGCATAGAAAACAAACTATTGTGGATGGTATAGGTTTAAATCCCCCTAAGACAAAGGGCTGGCTGGGGAATCCTATCTAATGAAGAGGTTTATGCTAACTGACCCTCACGCTGTTGCAAAGATGGTGGTGCCCACAGCCAATAAGGAGGGAATATACTAATTTACTGTCCCACCTTTAAAGATAGTAGTGCCCAATAAGGAGGGACTATGCTAATTGACTGCCCTGCCCTCAAAGATGGCGGCGTCCACAGCCAATAAGGAGGGACTATGCTAATTGACTGCCCTGCCCTCAAAGATGGCGGCGTCCACAGCCAATAAGGAGGGAATATGCTAATTGTTGTCCTGCCCTCAAAGATGGCAATGCCACAGACAATAAGGGAATATGCTAATTGACTGCCACACCCTCAAAGATGGTGGTGCCCACAGCCACAAAATAGCGGCACCCAGTCCCATCAGCCCACCAGCTGCCCAGGGCGGGCCAGAGGTGCAGGCAAGCCTTGGCTAGCAGCTGCCCAGCTGCCCAGGACCGCCGGATGCTCAGGTAACCAGGGCCAGCCGAGGTTTGTGCTGCCAGCAGTGGCAGCAGCAGAGGTGTGATGGACCGTCACCTTCCCCTGATCACTGGGTCGCCTCCTACCCCTGAGGGCTCTCAGACTGTGAGAGGGAGCAGGCCGGGCTGAGGGACCCCTGCCTCTAGTGCATGAGTTTTCATGCACCAGGCCTCTAGTGTCACCATAACGCTTTTCCCATTTCAATCACCCTAGGAGGCCTCTGAGGTAGAGAGTTGCTCCTGATCTACCCTCATAAAGCACAGGTTAGAGTTTCAGTAATGAGATCCAATCCCACCACAACACATGGAACAAAAGAAACAAGTATCAACATCAGAAAAATGAGGCCTTAAAAAGCCAACTCCCTGGTGCTGTGAATGTCCACCTGGAGGGCAAAAAGCCAGAAGACAATGATGAACAGTTTTTATAGAAAGAGGATGAGGGTAACTGTAGGGCCACAAAATTCTTCCAGGTGTATGTGTTGCACTGATTCCCTTTCCCGTAGGGAGCAATGGGAAATCACAGCAATAATCAGCCACCAATTAAAAATTCAAACAGCTCAAAGGAAACTACTCATAACTGCCAAACATTGTATATACACGGTGCTGTTGCATAATCATGTTAACACAAGTAGATATAATTCAACATACTATCTTTGAGAGGGTATGTAAGGCTGCCTGCGTCCCTTAGGCTAAGCTCTCTTCACCTTTCACAAGCACTAATCTATTCAAATACACTTTCCACAAAGACCTGAGCTTTATAGGAATTAAGCTGGTGACTCAGTGGGAGGCAAGGGTAAACTAATACCCTTGTTCTAATCACGTGTTCTGATAGACAATTACATAAAGTGAAACCAGTTCCTATAACATTTCCTTCCTGAAGCTACTATGAAACTACAGATAGAGACTATTTGAACTGAGCCAGACTGAGACTGTCCTCCTGTTCACAGTGGTCTCTATTAAAAACACCAGGCAGCACCGGAGCCCGCATGGTCTCCTATGGATAACTGAGGCCAATGAGCTGTAGTCCTGTGCCCAGTAGAACATCTCAAGTGTTCCCAGACTCTGTCAACAGCTAATGGTGGGTGTTACTTTAACTGACACTGGAAATTGTCTTCTTTACTAATAGTTCTCAGGACTCATGGTACATCCCAGCTTATAGGACAAGGAGGAAGAAGAGGCTTGGAAAGAGCTTCAACTCCATTCACCGCCCCTCCACTGGTCGCCAGGCCAACGGTCTGCACTTTGATTACGGAGCTACTGGCTTTCAAGGCTACTGCGGAACTGAAGAGGGAGGGAGGGGAATAGTGTAAGTTAAAACACCACAAAAATATCTGTTGGTTCTTACATTCACTTGTTTTCCCCAAATCGATGCTTCCCAGATTGCAGAAAAACTTTTCTTTCCAGAGTACTAAAAAAAGTTAGTTCTGGCATATTTTGACAGTTTTCTTACTGCTTTTATGGATGAGAGCACGTACAGAGGTCCTTACTCTGCCATTTTCACTGACATCCCAAA